TGTGAGGAGGGGAGAGGAAAAATATGGGGAAGAGGCTTGTGCTGAGGGGAGGAGGTCAGGAGAAGAATAAGAAGAAGAAAGAGGAAGGCACCAAGGGACAGGGGTGCAGGAGACACAAATGCCAGGGGGGCAAGTGCAGACAATGAGGAAAAGGGCAGGAGGGGAGGTGTCAGTGGGAGGGGGGACAGGGTGATGCTGGGTGAGGAGAGGGTAAGGGCACTGGGGGCTAGAGGGGGAGGGGGAGGTGCTGGGAGAAGGCTTGAAAGAAGGGGTGGGCATGAGGAAGGTGGGGATGGAGCAAGGCATCTGTGAGGGCACAGGGGCATGAGGAGAACGGGGGCAGAGGGTGGTAAGGGGGTGGGTATCAGTGAAAAAGAGAGCAAAGGGGGTAGGGGCAGTGAAGGAAGGGGGAGGCACCAGGAGGGTGCAGGTGCCAAGGGATAGGTGCTGGGAGAAGGCTTGAAAGAAGGGGTGGGCATGAGGAAGGTGGGGATGGAGCAAGGCATCTGTGAGGGCACAGGGGCATGAGGAGAACGGGGGCAGAGGGTGGTAAGGGGGTGGGTATCAGTGAAAAAGAGAGCAAAGGGGGTAGGGGCAGTGAAGGAAGGGGGAGGCACCAGGAGGGTGCAGGTGCCAAGGGATTCTGGTGGGTGAAGCAGAAGGGCAGACACCTGCAGGGGAGGGACCACCACCAGAGGAGAGAGGCAGGGCAGGTTTGTAGAGGGAGATTTTAGGAGAGGGGATGAGCAGGGGTAGCTCACACGATCAGAGTGGGGCTACTGGAGGAGTGGGCACAGGGCGGAGAGAAGGCTGGTGGAGGGGGGCAGGTCTCAGGAAGGCTGAGGGCAGTGAGAAGGGCAGGAATCAGGAGAGCAGAGGGTGAGGGGTTGGGGGGCAGCAGGCACCAGGAGAGCTGATGGAGCAAGGGGAAGAGACGTGGCAACAGAGAGAAAAGGTAGAGGTTTATAAGATATTTATTAATAACCTGTGATATTTATTAATAACTTATTAGTAATTACTGTTCTTATTCTTATTAGGAATTTATGCCATTAAAAAAACACTTTTTGTAGGGGAGGTGTGGCGAATCCCTTTTTTGTCTGGCGAGTAGGGTTTTCCATAATTTGTCGACCCCTGGCTATTGGGCTGCGACTAAAGCACTTCTATTTTTCTGTTTTTGGTCAATGTGTGGTATGAGAGCTGTACTAAGAGCTGATCCTGCCTTTTTCTCTCCTTAGCCTTCTTGGCTCTATGTTTCCAATGCCTCGAGTAATTTATGCGATGGCAGAAGATGGACTATTGTTTAGATGTTTGGCTACAGTCAACAAAAGGACCAAAACCCCAGCAATAGCTACAGTTACTTCAGGGGCTGTTGCAGGTAAGTGCCAAGAGATACTTGAATGAGCAGATAGCACAAATATGCTCCTCTATGGGAAAAATGCCGCAACACATCTCTAGTTCTCCATATTGTGTTGTGTGTTTCCACGATTCGGCTTCCTGAGCTTATCTTTGGACAGGACTAAGTAAACACAAGATATCTTTGTATCTGGATACACATCTTCTGCTGCCTTCTTTACTCATTCCAAATAGCCCAGCTCAGGGTCCCTATGGCTCTAGGCTTGTCTGTGCCATGGTGATAGACAGCGTATAAAGCCTTTACATAGCAGCTGGAGCTGGCCAGACAACCGTGGGTAGCTGTCAGGCCCTGTGGCCTAGGTATTTGTTAACAAGTTACAGCTGGTAAGATTGCCTCCCAGCCCCCATAAATCCAGGGAGGATCGCCGCCTTGCTATGAGAGAAAAGCAAAAACTCCCTAAATAGCTATCTCTGTGCATGTGTCTGCTCCTTACTCCCAGCCCTAGAGCTGGGCCTGGCAGTTGGCGCTGCATCTCCCACAACATGATTGTTGTGGACTTTTCAGCTCTTGTGAAACTTTGGCCGTAGTTGTGGAGGGGCTAAACATGTGGCACAGCTTTAAGGTTATTTGAGTATATTTTTATTTAGTGTCTTTCGTGTGTTTAGCTGGTCTCCTTTGTAAAGCCCCAGATTGCTCTTGTAAAGCCTCCTGTGGGGGCATTGGTTTAACTTTCTGATTAAGATGCATTGCCAGTAGAAACCACCTCCTCCAACTGGATGGGTGGTACATGATTGTGTGACCCTAGTTGCTTCGGCCATAGGCACAGGCCTGTGGTTCCTATGTCTGAATCCTGTCCTTGTGCGGGGGTTAAAAGTCCTATCCTCTCCCTTCCTCACCGGGATCAGAGCATCTGCCCTCAGTGGGTCTCCCCAAATCAACCGTCACCCCTCATCACACCAAATCAATAATCTGTACCCAGCTTGCTCACTCTTGGACTAGAAAGGAGTCTTACATTGCCCTGCCGGCTTTCTCATCAGGCCTTGCTGTAGCCTGCGGTCACTTGATCTGAGAGGAAAAGTAGCACAAGCAGGAGCTGGAGCCTGAGATCTTCTTTAAGGCGCAACTTACTTTTGACACCTCCCAAAAATGCGTGTGCTATGCATGGCCAAGGCCTGCTGCTTCCTGATGTGATTCGTCCCAGTGACTCCAGTCTTGTTTGTCCTTGTTACGTGTTTATATCAACATAACTTTAAAACTACAGTGTGGTTTGTAAACTTGAACAAACATTACTGGCAGAGAAGGAGGGTCACACGAAGAGACTGGAATGCCTCCTTCCAGTGTTATACATCCCACATCATTTGGAGCTGTATAAAACCTTTACCTAGTAGCCTGAGATGGGCAGGTACCCATATGGAACTGTGTCAGGAATCTGCCTTAGGCCTTTGTTAACAAGTTACTGAGCTTTGACTAATTTCTCCTGGAACACTCTGTGGGCCTTTTCGGTTCCCTGCTTTATTAGAAGAGGGTCATTCAGTCACATTCTGGTTCTTGTAGCCAGGGTATAGGGTGGGAGAGAAGAGACCAAACAAAGCTCCTAAGAGTCATTCTGGATTCTAGTGTGGGCACCAGAGAGGAGTACAGTGTCTGTCTGTGTCCATCAGAAGCAATAAAAAGTCTAGTTTGTATTCATTACACCCGCGTCACATCTCTCCTCTATCACAAGAGACATTGCAAAGACCAGTGTGTCCTTGGGTAATCTCATTGCAGATCTGAAGACAGAGCAATGGTCTTGCTTCAACTGTACTGAATTTGACACTCCCGTAATGTGACTCTTCCACAAGCTTACCACTTTCTGTTTTCCACACTCCCCAGCTGCCATGGCATTTCTATTTGACCTGAAAGATCTTGTCGATCTCATGTCCATCGGGACCCTGCTGGCCTATTCCTTGGTGGCAGCCTGCGTATTGGTACTGAGGTATGGATTAACCTGATTAGCTATTTGCCAGAATCTGGGAATGGGTGACAAAGGATGGAGCACTTGCTGGTTACCTGCTGTTCATTCCCTCTAAAGCACTTGGAATTGGCCACTGTTGGCAGACAGGTTACTGGGCTAGATTGGCCTTTGGTGTGACCCAGTACAGCCATTCTTTGATAGTTCTTTGTGCAGGATGCCAGACTATCTCTTGGTAACACAAAATACCCTGAAATGTAGCACATGCCAACATACACGACTGGGGCATAGCTGCAGGTGGGCCTAGGTGGACTCCAGCCCAAACACTTGGCATCCAAGGCCACCC